CTGTGCAAAAAAAAAAAAATTTAAAATTAAATTTTTGTAAATAAAAAGACATGTGCTACATGAGCTTCTCCCTTGTAGATAAGATATGATTTGATTTTAAATTAATTAAAATTTAATATAATTTTTGGATATAAAAGGATAAGTACCAAAAAGAAAAAGGAAAAAGGAGAGAGAAGAAAAGTAGAGAAGATAATGTTAACGGTATTAATATTTCTTCGTTGCACATGTGATGAGTTGACTATCATTTAGCCAAAATGTGTCTTTTTTCGTTGCAATGGAGAAGATAAGATTAACGGTGTTAAGCTTTTAATTTTCTTAATTAAGAAAAAAATCATAAATTTAAAATTAAGGTAATTCTTACCAAAACGAACATGTCTTCCTTCAAATCTCAATTTAATTTACTTAATGTTTTAAAACTTAATTTGGTAACTGACCCGTTTTTAACCTCTGTTCTAATTCAAGTGGTTTAATTGCTTAGTTCTATCTATCAATTTAAAATTGATTTTTTTAAATTTTTTTAAATATTTTATTGAAAATGCTATAATTACATATTATATGATATTATAAGTTTATAATATGATGTATCACTTTTTAATTAATTCTTTTCATCTAAAAATTTACTTGTAATATTATATATAACTATTAGTTTAACATCACATTATATTTATTTAATACTATGTAGAATTGTAGGTCCAAAATCTCACATGGCATTTTAATTATAGAATTACCTATATCTTATGGCTATATCAAGTATTTTTTTATTGCCATATACTAATATTAGCTTATTTTCAAAATATAATTATATTACTGGCAACTTAAAAAGTTTAATTTAATTAAACACATGTAATTCAAAAGATGAAGTGAGTTAAAAGAAAGTAAAAAATTAAAAAAATTAAAAAAATTTTAAACTAGTTAGGTCAGATCAAAATGTTTACAAGGTCGGCTGAGTTGATTAAGTTTACCAAGTTTGACCAATTTTTTTTTTTCTTTGAAGATGGGTTAAAGCATGTAACCAACTCGTTTTTCTTTCCAAATTCGGTTCAACTGGCCAAGAATAATAATTGTTTTTTATTTAGAATAATAGTTGTTTAATAGGGGTCTAAATAAATATTTTA